ACATGTGTGGCTCATATTTGCTTTAACATAAATCATAATCCAAACCCCTTTACTCCATTTCCATGAGCTTTTCTTTTCGTCTCTAAAACCGCCATGTTCATTGAAGCTTCCACTAGACAGCATCAACAACAGGAAGATGAAGATGAAGATGATGAAAACATAAGAGAAATACATGCTCTATCGCCACCATCAGTATCACCACCACCACCACCACAACAACAACAACAACCACCGCAACACCCTCGCCGGGGAGAACCTTGGGAAACAACCAGCCACAGATCATCAAATCTCTCCATAGGCAGCACGGAAACCGAAAACTTTACCACCATGAGTAGGGAGTTTAACGCCTTGGTACTTGCAGGAAACGACATAGATGTTAATGAACACAACGAACCAATTAGTAACTTGCAGAGGATCAGGGAGGAAGAAATTATGGTGGATAACAATCCTTTGGCGATTGTTGCGGATAATAATCCAAGGGTGGCTTCTCCGGCAAGACTTGGTAGCGGGGGCGGCGGCGCTGGTGGTGGTGGGATGAGTTTGATAAGTAGTAGCAGTGGGGGTACCCATGGCGATGTGTCTTCTGTGCAACGGGTGAAGAAAGAGGAGGTGGAAACTAAGATATCGGCATGGCAGAACGCCAAAATTGCGAAGATCAACAACCGTTTCAAGCGGGATGATGCGATCATCACTGGTTGGGAGAGCGAACAGGTTCAGAAGTCCACTTCATGGATGAAGAAAATCGAGGTACTTAAAGTGTAATAAAACAAAATTATGGGATCTTGTTGCAAGTTTTAATTGACTTATCACAAAATAGGTAAAAAGGGTAAATACGTATTACGTACTCAAATACTTTTTACATTTTATGATAGAATTTAAAATTTTCGATCCATTATCATATATTTATGATTTATGATATTAGATGAAAAGAAAAACATTTAACTATCAGATAATTTAAATGATAAAATTTAAATGTTATGATTGTTATGTTCTTATCCTATAAATCTTTTTTACATGATTTGATGTTTTCCTTTTTGGAAAGAGCTAATCGTATAATTTCCTATTGGGTACTATTTATAATGTATTTGATACAGCATAAAGTTCCATCACTCCATGTTATGAGGATCCAATAACAAATTGGGAGATGAGTAGATTTGGTTTATAAATTAAAGACATATATAAAATTATTATGACAAATCACCATCCAATTTAATTGTATTTGATATATTTCTAATATAGCCTTAATGTGGGTTAGTTAAAAAAATATGGAATGATGACACTTGTCATAATTTTATTGGGTAGGAACATTTGTAGACATAAAAAGTAGGAATCAATTTAATTTCTCACATTATATTTCAACAGGTGGGGTATTGTGCTATTATAAAAAGTAAAAACCATGTAATTATATTTATATTTCATAAATAAAAACTTTGCAAGTTTTATATTATATTCTATATACGTGCAAACTTATCATAACGTCTATGCTGTATAGAGAAAATTGGAGGAAAAACGAGCAAAAGCAATGGAGAAGATGCAAAATGATGTAGCAAAAGCTAGAAGGAAAGCAGAGGAAAAACGAGCAACCGCAGAGGCCAAGAGAGGAACCAAAGTGGCTAAGGTTTTGGAAATAGCCAACTTGATGAGAGCTGTTGGACGAGGTCCTACAAAACGATCTTTCTTTTAACTCCTTATATAAGAAAATGTGTAAAAAGATAGAAAGGAAAAAAAAAATAAGTCGGGTTTGAATAGTGTATGCCTTTGTCATGTATTGTGTTAATGATTTTGAATTAAAAAACACCCACCCATATGAGCTTGGGGGACAGTAAAGGTTTTGTACCCTAAAAGTTCAAGTGTTGGAGGTGAATTGATGCGTGTTTGGATTGATGCACAATGATGAATCTCTTATTTGAGTGTGTTAGCATCATTAGAAAGCTTGTGATCTAGAGAACATTTTGTACATTTTTTTGGTTATAAACTATTTTATGAAGTTAAAAGTTTTATAAGTTTGCTACAAGTGAACTTTGCATTTGCAATATCTGTGCTAGATTTTATGTAGCTAACTTGTGGACGGATAATATAATTCATCATATTATATGAAATGCTATTAAAATATATCTCATATTTCATCATATTATACTAATTAATAACAAAGAATACTAATTAATAACAAAGAGTTCTCCAATCATTTTTAGGTTTAAAACATATTCCTTGAATGCCAAATCATATTTTCATTACTATAACAAATTTCGAGTGTTAACATGATCTTGAATTTTTTTATAATGACTTGCTTCCTTTAATCCTCCTATTGCCAATCTTGACATTTAAGGAATTAAAGCCAGAGTTTATATATATATATATATATATATATATATATATATATATATATATATATATATTAATGATTTTGTAAACAGTGTTAAAAATCATATTTGTTGATTCATATATTCCTTCCAATAGTATTATGAAGAGTATATGAATATATGATGTTATTATCATATCTATTTGTGTCATCTTGTTAAAGCTTGACATTTTGTTTAATATTTCCACCTCTTCTTTAGTATTCCAAATGAACGATTGGATACAACTTAAAAAAGATGAATATATACAACTAAAGCCTAGGCACTATTTGGAAGGGCATGGTTGATGATATCTAATACATGAATATCATGTCATATATCCTTTTAGTCACAATATCTTTTGTCTACAGTGTAATATTTTCCTATAAAAAGGAGAAGTCAAAATAAAGTTATAAATAGCGGTTAACACACAAGTTTTTAAGGATTGTCAAACTACTTGTACCTTCCGATGGCTTAAGAAAATTCATAGAAGATGTCTCAATCACATGAAGAAAAACTTAGATATCATGTGTTACTCCTTCCCATACGAGAGATATGAATGCAAATCACTTGTCAAAGTCATATGCAACATGAAGGTGGACATTTTAATCCTATACCAGTATATAATAATAATAATAATAACAAAACAAAACAAAACTTCACGAATGTTCCCCGTGATTTACAAAAAATATTACCTTGAGGATAATTATCAGAAGCATTATGATGTTGGTACTTGTGGTTTCAAAACCTTGGTTGGTCAAGGTTAAATACATGTGAAACAACTAATTTATCATTATTATATATATATTAAAGTTGTGGAAGAAAGGAATAGTGAAGTTGACATACTTTGTCCAGGTTTGGTCCCTTGATTTACATATCCGGTCCCTGTACTTTAATTAATTTATTCATGTCCTTTTGTTTGTGTTCCATTCAACTTCCCATTTTTTTGGCAGAATTGGTCCATGTATTATTGTTGGAAGTTAGGAATACTAAATTTGGATGTTTTTTGGCAACTTTGCTCATTATTCTTTACCCATTTTGACACTTTTGGTCCTTGCAATCAATATTTTTACACTTTTTGGAACCTTTTAATATTTAAAGTTTGGCCACAAAACTTTAACGGTTTGACAACTTTGATTCCTTTTCTAAAAAGTTGCTAATTCCTACCCCTTTAATTCTTTAGCCATTTTCACACTTCTGGTCCTTGCAGTCAAAACTTTTACATTTTTTGTCCGGGGCAAAGCCCGGACTTTTCATCCTTGCACTTTCTATGTCTGTCATATTTATCAATTCGGAAACAACATTGAAAGCTTCTGGCCCCCGCGTAGCGGGGGTAACCTTTCTAGTTCTATATTACTTTTGTTATTTTTCAATTAAATGTATTTTTCTTTTATCGCTACCCCCACCCCACCCTTACTTCCTTCTTACTATATGCACATCCCTCTCCCTTATTCCCCTCATCCCTTCTCCTCTCACTACCTTTGTCTTCTCAATCCACCACCACCTGGAAACCCTTCGCCATTTGAATTAGCTACATATTTTTTTTAAGAAAAAGAACGAACGGGGTCTTGTGTGTTTGGGGACGAATAAGACAAAAACAAATAAAAAACCTAGAAACGCCTTTAGATACGGAGATGGGAGGGGTAGGGCGATGGATAGGAGGAATGAAACCTTGATAAACTAAAGAGTAGAGTCTCGTGCGAGTGAGGCCGATTAAGAGAAGCGGTGGCAGGGACGGGGAGTCAAAGAGGTTGCCGGTGATGTGCAACTGCAACTCTTCTCATTGTGGTATCAATGAAATACATGTTATGTATTGTCTGTTATCTAAAAATAATGGTTCTTGAGGTTTATATAGTAAGTTACAAAAATGGTCCTATAGGTTTATTGAAAATTTCATATTTTGTATAAGAGTATATTAGTTATTTAAAAAAAGTAAAACTTCAAAAGTAAGATTTAACGTCCAAGAACTAACAATGCAACAAAATAAAACCTCGAGAACCAACGTAACGTTTCTGATAGTTATCCTTAAAGTGATACTTTTTGCAAACTACATGAACCAATCGTAAAATTTTGTATAATAATAATCATTATAAAATGCATATTTTCATTAATTAGTTTAATAATTTAATCAAACAAACATATTAGATTTTTCATATTGCCAGCATTATTTTAAATAAATGGGCTTAACAAACTTTTTTGGGCTAACCTTCTTATGGGCTAAAATACTCTCAGGCGCAACATATTTATTTAACATTAGACTTTTAAATAAAAGCCGAAGTATAGTTCTTTAAAATTTTACATAATCCGTGTTCAAGAATCAAGATGACCGGTTTGTATAGATTTAGGATGTTACATTACTTGTCCCTTGATAATTTTTTCCAGGTCGATAATTATATGTCGGCCTCTTTTCCCAAAGTATTTTGCGAAGGAAAAGGTTTACGTAGTGGTATAGTTATCATGTCGGGTCATTTGGGGGTACAAGTAACACATGAAAACGTGGAGCTACCAGAATGGTGCTTCTTAAAAAACAACCACACTTATAAAACTGTGACCCGTTAAGTCGTTATTATATATTCGAAATTGAAACAAAAAACGCGTTTTGTCAATTTTATATCCATCTTTAATATTGCTTTAATCGAACCACTCCAATCACTTAAAGATAACTGTTGATGGAGGACCCATGACATGAACCTTCACATATTCAAATCCTTTTCGCCCACCAACTGCAGAAAAAGTTGGATTAATTTAATCAAGCAAACCTGCAAAGGAAACATCATGAAGAGGAGTCAATTACGCAGAAGTAAATTAAACTTTATGATGTCACATTGCATTTCAATATCTTGTGATCTTGTCTATATCTTGTTTAATGCATATTTTTGTCTATCTGATTAGTGATTACACCCTTTTTGAATACTAAACTGAGAAAGTGCTCTAATTAACCCCACTAATGTCTGATTATGATAGAAGGGTCCAAGATCTTTATAGTGATGAAGATATTAGGGATGTACATGCTTTGACTCCACCGTTTTCTCCTCTTGATTCATCTCCTTCCATGACTACAAGTGATCGAGCTTCACGTGGAGGTTTTTCGAATATGAGTGTTACTAATAGCACAATGGTGCTCGCAGGATCACCCATAGCGAGCAGGAGCAGCATAGCTGAAAACGATCATTCTGGCAACTGGGGTTTCGGATTATCTTCTGTGTTAGGAGATCGTGGGTCTGTTGTAACTGCTGAACATGGTCGAGATGATCAGGTGTTGGTGTCTGTGACAAGCTTTAAGAAGGAAGAGGTTGAATCCAAGATAACAGCATGGAAGAATGCTAAGGTAGCTGAGATCAACAATAGGTTTAAGTGTGAGGACGCCATAATCAAAGGTTGGGAAAGCGAGCAGGCTCAGCAGTCTGCTTTACGTATGAAGAAAGTCGAGGTATTGAATGATTTAAATCAAGTTCTGTGTATTGAAAAAATATGTTGAGTTGCTTTGATTTGTTGTTAATCCACTTTTTGTTCATGTTGCAGAGAAAGCTTGAAGAGAAGCGAGTAAGAGCGTTGGAAAAGATGGAGAATGAGATAGCAAAAGCACATCATAAGGCTGAAGAACGGAGAGCATCAGCAGAGGCAAAGAGGGGAACGAAAATTGCTAGGGTTCTTGAAGTAGCCAACTTGATGAAGGCTGTGGGAAGGTCTCCTGTTAAGAACTCGTTTTTTTAGAGGCTCTTGGCTATCTTCCACTTTATGCATAATTTTATGATGAATGGAGTTGAAGAGGTAGCCGATATGAGTTGGAATCTATGGTTCATCTTGTTTTGTAAATAGACAAAATTGTGCTTTTGATGTATTAAAGTTTGTGAGGATTGTGTCTTGTATGGTATTTGCAATGTACAAGATGCTACTATTTTAGTTGTTCGTATTGTTGGTTATTCCGTAGACGTTTGAAAAGGATCAAAGAGATTACTTTTCCCCCTATCCATGACGATCGTTGTACGTACTTAAGTTTCAGCTTTTATTTTTCTTCATTTCAATTAGAATTTGTCAAGAAGATTCATTTATTAGGTGTAAAAGGGTAAGAGCACCCGCAAAAGAAGCCTGTGCAATTTTTTAGCTATAAAAAAGGGTAAATTACACCAATCGTCGCTTGTGCATATGCCAGAAAACGTGTTTAGTCCCTATTTTCAAAATTTAACTCGGACCGTCCCTGAGTGTGTTTCTTCTTGCACGCTTAGTCCCTCCGAACATAAAAATACCGTTTTGCCCTTATTTATTTATTTTTTGATTTCTTTTCTATTTATTTGTTATTTATTATTTATTTTTTGATTTTTTATCATAAACAATAATTATTTGCTGCCTTTAAAAAAAGAAATTGACCATAAATCTAAGCACCTTCATAACTCGTCTCTTCCCCCATCACCACCAACACCGATCACTGCCATCACCGTCGACTCCAATACTCCGACGACTCGAAGATATCTCCGGCCACTCCAAGACATCTCCGACAATAGAATAAAACCCTCATCACCACACCACACCCCAATCCTACCCCTCCCCCTTCCATTTCCCCTTTTCCTGTTGCCTTCACTGGAAACCAGATCATTGGACCACCTCTCCATCTAGCGAGAGGGTTGCAGATCTACAAAAAGGAGGTCGACTGGTGGTATTTGGGTGGTAATGGTGATTATTCGAGATTCTGCAATTGGTGTTTGAAGTTCTTGCAGGTGGGGTTTCCAGTGGAAGTTGTTGTGGTGATGAGGTTACCGGTTAGGTGGTTTTCGAATTGGGGTTGTTATCAGCTGGTATTTGTACAGAAAGATGTTTTTGGTGAAGGAGGTGGTGGTTTATGGTTATTTTCCAAGTAACAGGTGGTATAAGAAGGAGGTGAAACAGGTGCTTGATGGAAGGATGGTGGTGGTCTTGAGCTTTAAACCTGGGACTGGGGTGGGTGAGGTGAGGGTCGATTTCCATGGTGGTGCAGATTTCCAGTGAGGAACGAGGCCATGGATCTGACAACCACCATCGTAGCCGGAAACTAGATTTCAAAATCCAATCCTCGAGCTCTTGACAACTCGATCTCACACATAGATGTCGTCGCCGGAATACTAGAGGGTAAGAGTTTGATAGCGTCGTCGGAATACTAGGTGAGGGTTTAATTCGTCAGGTTTGATTTTTGTGTTGGGTTTAAGTTATAGATTGGATTTTTGTGTTGTATTTGAGTCGCAACTTTGAGTTTATGGACGGAGATGGTGATCGAAGCTGTTGTCGGGCACTAAGTCTATAGACGGAGATGGTAACTGGAGGTGCTGCCGGGAACCGGGTTTGTGAACGAATATGGTGATTGGGATCTTGAAGAACATTAAATGAATTGGAAAGGAAATAAAGAGATTAAGTGGGTCGTAATATTTATCTTTTTTTTTAGTTAACAATAATAAGAACATTAAATTAATCAGAAAATAAATACCAAAAGGGCATAATGGTCATTTCAGGTACTGTAAAGGATGAAGCGTGCAAAATTAAATTAATGAGGGATGAAACATGTAAGTTTTAACCAAACAAGGGACGATCCGAGTTAATTTTGGAAAATAGGGACTAAACATGCTTTCTGGCATGTGCACGAGGGACGATTGGTGTAATTTACCCTATAAAAAAATTACACAAAAAACATTAAGTTTTCAAAAAAGTTCAATTTTGACACAAGTCGTTTTTCCTTTATTAAGTCAATATATATATATATATATATATATATATATATATATATATATATATATATATATATATATATATATATATATATATAGGGTTAGATTATTTTGTTTCTTACATTTATTGTGTGCTATAATGCACCAATAGGAATTTAGTAAATTAAATAATTATTTAATTAAATAAATATAGATATTAAATGATTTCCATAATTATATGTATATTAAATGATATCCATAATTATAATTATCTTTTTATGGAAACTAATTAAATCCGTCATTAATGTTAGCAATAACATTCTTTCAGAATAAATTTGCATCTATGTTTTTATATATGAGTTCGTATTTTATTTCAGGACCCACTCACTTAAAATACAATAAAGTTGCATTGAATATGAAGAACGGGAGTGTATTCTACTAGAATACACTCTTATTCTGCTGGAATACACTCTCATTCTTCTAGATATAATTTATTCTGAAAGAATATTATTGTAGACATTAATAAAGAATTTAATTAATTTCCATAAAAATGAATTTTAAGTATGGATAGCATTTAATATTCATATAATTAATACTAGATTCTTATTGGTGCATTCTAGCACACAATAGATGTGAAAAACATTTGTACATATATATATATATATATATATATATATATATATATATATATATATATCAAGGTTGTAAAAATCGATCGACGGTAGCTCGACGGTCGACTGGTGTTAAAGGATTAATCGGTCTTGGTGGAGTTTAATCGGGGACCATAGATTATTAATAAAATATTAAAATTAATTAAATATTAATATATTTTAAGAAAAACAAGTACTTCAAAATTAGAAAATAAGAAAAATTGTAATTTGAAAATTTGGAAATACGAAAATATAAACATTTTGGTATAATATTCGAAATTTTGAAATTTTAAAAATTTTGGAGTAAACAAAAAGTTGGTTTTTTGAATTTTATTTAATTTTTTAAAAATTTTATTTAAATTTTTTTTTGACATTTTTTGACTTTTTTCGACTTTTTTGACTTTTGTTGACCGATTAATCCGCCAAGGCCGATTAATCCCACCAAACCCGATTAATCCTAAATTTCCGATTAATGCCCTAATCATCGACGGTTGGAGAACGCCAAGCGATTAATCCACGATTAATCGCCGATTAATCCCGATTTGTGCAACCATGATATATATATATATATATATATATATATATATATATATATATATATATATATATATATATATATATATATATATTGACAATTAGAAAGTGATGTTACGTCAAAGTCATCATGTCAGGGTTACGTTATCAAAGACTAACATATCATCATACCATGTCAGTTAGCAACTAGGTTAACCGATTAAATGGTCAACATTGAAATAAATTGAAAAATATAGTGTCAAATTCGAACTTTTGAGAAAACTTAGGGGTTGTTTGGTAGCCTCTTAATTATTCAGATTAAGAGTGTTTGGTAGGCTATGAATTAAAGCCTCTTAAACTTTTAGAAGCCTCTTAAAGTTTCAGACTTGGGCTTGTATCTGAAAAATAAAAAGCACGCGTCCTTCTCTCTTTTACCCTCAGCGTTGCTGATATGCCCGCCTCAAAAACAACACACCCCCTTCAGATCGTCTCTTCCGTCTCCGACTCTCCTCCTACCTCTGACCATGTCGAGCGCCAATCACCTCCTCCGTCGTCGACCTCCCTGAAATCGACTCCCACCACGACTTCCAACGCTTGGCTCCAACAAGATTGCTCCTTCTCCTTCATCCCACCTCTTCTCTTACCTCTCCGCCTCAGGTCCCTCTGGTCATGGTGGTTTGAGTTCTGTTTCCTCGCCGGAAATCTTCAAGTTCCGGTATTAGTTCAAGATCGGATCCTCATGGTAAACGCCCGATGCAGACTTATGATTGATTTGTTTTTGAATTCTAGGAGGTAGGCTCCGACAAGATTGCTCCTTTTCCTTCATCCCACCTCTTTTCTTACCTCTCCTATCTACAGTCGTCTGCACCCTCCCTCCGGAATTGACTTCGCCCCCAGAAGCTGTGCCGCCTCCGCCAGCTTCAGCTAGCACCGCAACAACGACAACCTCCTGTTGCAGCTAATTTTTTTTCCTGGCTTGTTCTTTTTTCCCCTGAAAACCGATTCTTAGAAATACATGGATTTTTTTTGCCCTAGAACTCAATTATCAGTCCTTGATTTTCATTTTCTTTGTATTTCATGCCCGATCCTGTACTGGATCTTCATATAATACATGTATTTGTTTCCAGATTTGTGTCTTAAATTGTCTGTATTGAGGTTCTAATTAATAGTATCAAGGTTCTACAAAATATGAACATTGATTGAAATCTTAATATAGAAGATGATAAAACAACCAATTGTTTGGTGAATCTGAAATAGACCACACAGATACATATGTTTGGTGAATGAAACTGTATATTTGAACTCTGAACTTTGAAAAATCGAGTTTGAAAAATATGTTGATACAAAATTGATGGTGCATCATTATCTAGCAATTATGCATGAACTGTGTGTGAATTGAAAGTAGTTTATACAATTGGAGTTTTTGACAATTTATTCGATTCTAGCAACATACTTTGAAAAGTTGTGATGGATTTGGTATGCAATTTCTATACATATGTTTAAAGTGATTTTTGGAATAGCTTGAATTTCAACCCAAACCTACAAATGTAAAGATCATTCATTCAACTTTAAGTTAATGATTATATAACTTGTTATTGAGCTTATTTGTTTCCTTGTTGAATTTGGATTTTACAGGTTGAAATGTTTGAAAGAAAATTTTGAGAGGCTATCATGTTTGATGTAATGATGGAGAAGGAAAGGAGTACAAATCAATCATCAATAGTTCAGTTGCAAGTTCGTTGTCATTTATGTTTCAGCATTTAATGTCAAATATGTTATTTTTTAACTTTGAAATCCTTGGGATATAAACAATGATGTTATTTTTGTAAATATATATGTCAAAAAATCATTATAAATTGTTGAAGATAAATTTTGATTTATGTTAATTTTGATTTTGTATGTTTTTTTATAATTATTCAGTAAAAAATAAGACAAAAGGGTAAAATGGTCATTTTTATAATTCAGCACAATAATTCAGAGGTTCCAACCAAA